TCACCCAGTACATAAATACCTGCAGTTATTACAATGACTCAACTTCTTCCCAGAAAAGTTGTCTTAGAAAAATAGTTAAACAATATTGGATGAACACTAGGGACGTAAGAACTCCCAAGGTCTGTACTTAAATAACATGACATATGTTTATTTTATACACATTATTTTGAATACGAAACTTGGAAAGAAAGAATGATTCTCTTTTTAAAAGTCAAATCAAATACCTCTTCTAAATTTGACTCTGTGGCTTGCAGGAGGAAATATCCCCTCACTTCTCTGCTCCTTACTTTATGCTCACCAGAAGTGGCTGGAGTAGAGGTGGAAAGAAAGATACACACAAGGGCCTGTGCATCTGCCCCTCCTTCTTGGTCCCCAGCCTTTGCTGAATTCTAATCTTTTTCTAACTTGTCACCTTTGGTCAATTAATGTGAAGAGATTAAATTGTAGGATCTTTGGAGGGGAATAGCAAAGTACTTTTCCACTGTCCTACTTGTAGAACTATTGTAAGCCCTGGGCAAGGAGAAGGTCTTGGAGCTTGAATGGCTTAGATTAAAGCCTAGAGATGCTCTGTGATGAGGCCTTTCCCTGCCTCCCGTCACCACAGGTGAAAGTCAGTCATCAGTCCCCAGCTCCACATATTCAGACATGTCTGCATAATATGACAAACATCTGTAATTTATAAAGTAATGGCTTCAGCATCTGTTTTTGGACATCGTTGAAGAAGGTCTTAGGTGATTATGTTTTCTTTCTTTCTTTCTTTCTTTTTTATTTTTTCAAATAAGTCTCTCTTTTGGGCCAAGTTGCTTATATACCTACAGGCATGTCTCCAATGCCTTGGCTATTAAGTTTTTTAAGTGACAGCTTAATATATTTTAAGATTGAGGGAGCCAACGACAATTCTCGAGGAGCTGTGTTTACGTTGGATTGGCTCGCCCAGGCAACATGCCAGCAGTTTTGCAAACTGAAGGAACTGGAGGTGAAAGCAGGAAGGGCTGAGTACAGAGGGGAGGAGAAAGCTGAAGGACAGGGAAGCCAAGAGGGATGTGATGTGGACAGGGTGGAGGGAGACGCCCAGCTGAACCTGGCAATGCACTTAGAAGAACTGTCATTGAACGCTCCTCCAACATTGTGCTGAGGGGTGAAAAATAGAACCTTTTGGAGCCAGTCCATTGGCACATGCTCAGTCAACAGTGCACATGCTCTTAGATCTCTTTGTTCTAGTCCTTTCCGAATTCCTGCAAGTTCCTTGGCAGCCGAGGGGACTGTATTCTTACAGAGCCTAGTAGGCTTCAGCATACCTTCTCAGCAATCTCCGATAAGGAGTTTGAGCCCTGTGGACCTCAGTTTCCTTATCTCAAAAGGGAAAAGAATTCAGTGTTCCTTTCCAGGACAGTTCTATGACTCCAGAGTGAAATGCTTGATGATTGGCCATCTTTGTTCTGCATAAGCAGATTTTGTATCTGATGGGCTAGAATGAAGACAAGATCTTTGGTTCTTGTCCGGCTGAGCAATGGGTTTTGGTTATACTGAATGCAAATTAGTTGCTCTAGTTATAAAGCAGTATGAAGAAAAGGGTATCCTTCATTTACCAAAAGACTCCTTTCAGCATTCACATACCCATGGAAGTAAACTGCCACTGGCAATAGTAATGGCCAACTCTGTTTGTGAGTTCATGTGCTGAGTCCCTTTATATACATCATCTCATTTAATAATCACAGTCAGTCACCTTGAGGGGTAGATGCTGATATTGTTTCCCCAATTTTCAGACAAGGACACAGACTCAGAAGTTAATTAGCTTGCCCAAGAGCACACAGCTAGTAAGTGGTAGAGCTGGGATTTGAACCCAGATTTGTTTACAGGAATATTAATACTCAAAATTCTTAAATACACTTAATAAACAATAGAAGAACAAATCCACAATAATGGTTGATTCCACCAAGAGAAATGGCATTTGGCCTTCAAAGCCCTTTGTTACCAAGAACTGTTGGCTATTTCATCATTCTCAGGGATTCTCTCTGCTACAAAACTTCTCTTTCCCAGTAGAAAAAACAATAACTGAAGAGCAAGCATCCAATAGGAAGGAGCATTTGACTTAACTGTTTCTAAGCTTTGCTACTGTGTTTGTGACCTATGGTGAGTCCCTCAGTCTGCCTGGGATTGGTTTATGACCTCCAAGACTACTATGTGTTCTCTTTCGAAGACTTTTTATGACTTTCCAGCCGCTGGGGATTCCCTGCACGCCCCCCTCCCCCCAACTGTCCCACCTTGGGGGCAGGACAGTGGAAACAGCTCATATACCATTTAAAACCATTTCTCACTTTGTAAATAGGTCCCTTGTAGCTCTAAGACTTTATGAAATCGTTTTGAAAAGCCTAAGTGTGATTATGCACCCTGAAGCCAAAAGTTATAAAACCCCCCACTGTTACAGATTTAACAAGTAAATATGCAATAAAAGGTTTTCAGCATGCTGTTGATATGACACAATGTTTAATCACTGCTATAATGCTCAGCAAGGAGAGCTTCTAGTTCCTTCCCTTGACTTTTTGAGTTGAAGACATTAGTTAAGCTACAAAGTGGCGATCTTCCTACTGATTGTCACAGTCCCAAGAGGTAAAAAATATCTGTCCTTTCATCTCTACCCACCACATTCTTTCTCTAAGCCTGTAATTGGATCTAAACGAAAAATAAACCCTTTGCAGGCTGAGAAAGTTGGCACCAAAGAGGACAAGAAGAACATGCTCCACCTCTAACCTAGATAATCATGATCTCCTATGCAAAGAAAAATAAAAACAAGACAAGGGAATACAGTTAAAATATCATAAGAACTTTGTACAGATGGTTACTAGATTTATCATGCAGATCACATCATAAGGTATAAGGCCACTGTACAGTGGGGCAAGAGTAGGTTTACAGTTGTGAGTATGTGAAACAGTTTATTCTTGTGTTAATTATTGTATCATTTTCCATATGAACAACAATAAACCTCCTTTTGCCCCACCCTGTAAATGTTGTACATCCAAAAACTAATATGTTACTTGTACTTTAATTTTAAAAAGAAATCAAGTTATAAAAGCAAAAAACAAAATAAAACAAGGCTTCCTCCAACTGTGGTCTTAATTTTCAGAGAGGAGTTTTCCATGTACCCTGTCTCATGTTATACACCAACCATCAGTCAGCTGGTGCTAAAACCACCAAAATCATCTGACTTTCCAGAGGACGGCGGGACTCTGCCTATTTAGCCCTGAACTCTTTTTCTTGGAGTGGATTTGGGGAGGTAGTTCAGACAGAAACATCCTGAAGCAGCAAGCTGAAAAACATAATGCACAAAATGTACTGTCTGTGAACATTCTGGTCTTAGCTGAACGGATATTCAAAGGTTCACTCATGGTTTATGGAGTTTTATTGTGTATGACATGCTTTGATGGAACAGAGGTGAGTGAAAAAAGTTCGCCCTTTAGGAGTAGAAAGATGTGTTAGAGAAATAAGACCAGTGCATGCCTGACTCACTAGTAGGTAGAAATTAATAGGTATCTCATGATGGTCTAAAGTGTTATGAGAATTCCATAGAAGGAGAGATGACTTGATTCTGCAAGTAGTCTGGCAAATGCAAGGCGGCATGGTACATTCCAGAGAAATGCCCTGATGAAGTCTGACTCAGTATACACATTAAGACGGGTCCGCTGGACTCTGTGGGAGTTGGCGAAGGTCAGCTGTGCAGTGGTGCAGCTATAAATCAGATGCATGAATGCTGTGCTTCTAAATGGCTGGCTTGCATTTTTATTTTGATTCTGACAGTTTCTTTTTCTCCCCCTCTTGTTCTACCCCACAGGTAATGGCAAATGTCTAAGGAGGACTTTGCCCTGCAAAACCAAATCCCCTGAAATCAGAGTTTAAAAATAACTGATTTAGAACTTCTTGGAGCACCTCTCTATTTAGTACATAGGATATGACCCTGATTCATGAATCCCTCAATAAAGCCTATTAGATCTTTTTAAGAAGATGGGGGTGGGGGGAGAGGAAACTGCCTTGGGAGATTAACCCACAGTGTACTATTGATGTTACTGCTGCTGGGAAGGAGGTGGGGACTATCATCTTGGCACTGGAAACAGGGAAAGTGGCACTCAGAAAAGTGACTTACTTGGTCAGTAGGGTGCAGCTAAGAAGTGGCAGGACCAGGGTTTTAATGTTAAGGCTCTCCTTATGCTCTGCTGCCTGCTGGAACTTACTCTGTCTGACCCTGGGCTCTCTGACTCAGTTTCTCCATTGGTGTAGGCTGTCTCTGCTCTCTTCCAGCTCATGTTCTGAAAGCCTGTGCCCTCTCCCAACCGCATTCAGGTAAGTAACCGGTGGGTACTGGAGCTACAGGCACAGCTGCAGGCCCCTCCTGCAGTAATTCACCCATGACCTTCTGGGCTCCGGGCCAGCCCTTCTTGAAAGGGAAACGTGCAGACCCTGGAGAGAGAAATTAGTTCCCGTGCTCTGGAACTGCTGCCATTGCCCACATCACCAACTGAAGAAACATGTGTGTGGAAAACACAAAACACTAAGGTGAGGGCAAAAGAGGGTATTCCTTGTGAATAAATAGTACACACCATTTCTCCCCGCAATCTTCACCTCAATCGCTGGAGCGGGAAGGGAGAGAAGGAAGGAAGGAAGGAAGGAAGGAAGGAAGGAAGGAAGGAAGGAAGGGTTCCCCCCCCCCCACAGACCATTGGAATACCATGTAAAAAATTAGGTTTTACCTTACCTAAATTTTAATTTGCATTACCAAAGAACTAAGATCCATTGCAAATAACTTTACACAAAGGCCTTTTGGGCGGGGGGAGAGGGCGGGGATTGCCTGTTAGTTTAACCAAGTATTCCCAACTATTTGGTTTTCTGTGAAGTCTTGGAATTTAATGAGTTTCCTTCTCACTTCTAGCTAAGTCTCCACGAACACAAGGGAGAGAGAAAAGGGGAAAAGAAAGTGCCTGGATAAACACAGACACATCACAGCTCACCTTCTGAACTCCTGGATTGAGGTCTTTGGCCACCTTTGCCATCTTCTTCTGGGCTGGAGAAACAGCGCCGGGCTTCTCAGACAGAGGCGCGCGGGCGCTCAACTGGGACAGCGGTGGCTGAATGGCCAAGTTCGCGGGCCCAGGAGGAGCTCTGTCTGCCGCGGGGCACGGCGGGCCCTTTAATTGGAGAGTGGGACTCCCTCTAAAACCTCGCCAGCCAATCCGCGCGGGTGTTCGCACTTGGCCAGCCAATCCCAGCGCGCCGCTTCCCCCCTCCCTCTGGGAATCCAGGGCTGGGCCTGAGGCTACGGCAGTGCGAGCGCTGCCCTGACGTCAGTGCTGCGGACCTTGCCTGTCCAGTCGGCTCGCACTGGTCCCTGGAGCGGCAGGAATTCGTCCCCACGCCCTTCTCCTTTAAAGGACAATTGACAGAGGGTGGGGCGGGCCCCTGGGTCCGCGATTCATTCAGGTCAGAAGGGAGAGTGATCAAACAGGAAGGCGGAGGTATTTTTAGTGAGCTGGGTACAAAAATAAATGCTGAGCAGTGTTTCCCTCCCACCCTTTCAGTCTTGTCGCGGGAGGGGTGCGAGCAGAGGGGGAGGCAGGTGGTATGCAGGGGCATTGCCTTGTTGGCTAACGTTTCTCAAAGGTGGGCAAATTCTCCAATCACCAGAGAGGAAGTGAGAGTCCAGCGAGTTACGAATTTTTTAACGTAATGTTTGTGAAGTATTAATATGTTTTTCCTAACTTGCTGGGTTGTAAATCCTCCTGATTCAGCGAGGAAGGGAAGAGTATCCTGATTTTATAAGTGCTAAGATGTACACCTTAACTCTACCAGTATGTTTTCTTACTGTGTCCTTGTAGTCATCTCATTACCATGAACACTATCACTCCCATTTGACAGATGAGGAAATATGCCCAGAGAGGTTAACTGGATTAAAGTTGAACTCTTCAGCAAGGCTTTAACCCTAGACAGTGAGTGAGAACCCACCTGGGGAGAAGGGGCACAGGATAAAGCCATAATCTAGGAAATTCGTGCTGCAGCATCTAACATAATTCCTGGAGAGCCCTGGCCAGCTCTTCCCTCACTATGCCATGTTGTCTGCCTATAAATCCACATTTCTCTACTGAGCCAATTCCACAGCCCTGGGTTTCCAGGGGCATTTTCCCTGCCTGGATGGAGGTGGAAACACAAGCCCCTTTTCACCCTGGAGAGAAAACTTCTGCCATGTGAGTGTTGTCCTGTAACCCACATTGGTAGTGCCACTTGCCAGAAACCAGGGCTCAAGTGGCTAAAGTAAAACCAGGTTGCAGGGAGATGGGAGGGTGGTTTTATTTCAAAGTACATCATGTGGGACTGATTTGGGGGGACAGAGAGAGCTGTAGGTCACATTCTAGGGCTTTCTTATTGGAGGCACTTTTTCTTTGTAAAGCCCTTTCCAGTTGGTTCTTTACACACCATCATCTCCAGCAATTCCAGATCTTAGCCAATGATTCTAAATTGTGATTCCTTTTTCACATTCCCAGAAAGGGCTTTCTGACTGGGACTCCCTTTTTCCAACATAAGGGATGGCCTTTTTCTTCTTTTGTGAATTTCTGTTCTAATTGGGGTTTGTCTTGCTTGATTCCCAGCTCTAGCTCCAATACCCACACAAGATAGAGACATTCAGAATGCACTTATGGAATGAACGGAGGTCGGAGTCAGGCTTTTAATCAGCAGTGAACTGGCAATGTGAGACTAGGGAGAGAAGGTGCAATGATACACCTGGTCTGGTTTGTCTAGGCTTCCAAGGTGGGCTGCATGTTAAACCAGTGTGCAAGATAACCCGTAGCCAACGGAAGCCTGGCCTGAGAGAGGTTTTCATGTGAGCAGCCCTTTTTGTAGCAAAGCCTTGGAACAATAGTGCTGTACTGGGTTGTTATGCCCAAAGCCTTTATATTCCAGAGGTGTGGGAACAGCAGCCAGGAGAATAACAAAGGCAAGCTTTATCCCTTGCAAACTAGGCAGAAGCCTTTTCAGTGAAGTCATTTCCCACTCCCTTCCCAGGCACCTTCATGCCTCATCTTGAGAAATCGTTGTTCCATGGAATAGTTCTAACTTTATTAACTTTAACACTGTTAGCTCTAAACCCACGATCCCCTTCCCCTCTCCTTATTTTTACCTTTGGCCTCAGTTTCAATTAAGGGGTCAGATACCATGGCTGTGTCTCAGAATGTGAGGATCAGGAGCTACTGCCGGAGTAGCCCTCTCTCTCCTTTCTGTAAAATAGCCTGTTGTGGCAGACAGGTGATCCCGCTCCCTGCTAGAGCTTGCTCTCTCCCCAGCTGAGGATGCTCATTCTGACAATTCAACTTGGCTGGACACCTGGACAGACTACTATAATCTGGACTGTTCTGGAAAATGGAGGCAATGTGGCCATTACACCCCAGCCTCACTCCAACTCTGAGGTTCATTTGCTTCTCTTTGGGGAAAAAAACAGGGTCTCTTTTCCAGGCTGGAGTAGTAGAGAGATCTGACTTCTCCAAGGTTCATTACTTTGTGGTTCTGGGACTTAGTAGAAACTTCATTCATCCATCAAGCAGTTTTAGGGCACCTGCCTTAAACCCTGTGCTATGTGCTGGGGACACACAGGTAAATTAAAGAATCTTTGCCCTTCAAGAACGTCTTGGTGTAATAAATATCCCTGGGGCTCTCTGGTTGACAGAGCTCTCTGTTACTTGAACTTCAAGACAACCACTCTGAGAGAAAACAGAGATTGGGACAGTCAAGGACTCTATCCAAGGGGACACAGCCAGTAAGTGGCAGTGTTACAGGGTGCAGCCAAGAGGGGGGATCCCAAATGGGCACTTAAAATGGGGTCCAGAACTCAAGGTGTCCAGGAGATTTTAGGATGTCCTAAACCTCCGCCCCTCCCCCCCCACCCCCGTATGCGTTGGGGGAAGGGACAAATGGAGCAGGACCTTTGAGAGCTGTTTCGCACAGCAACAGCCTTGTAGCTAACCTCTGGTGTGGTCATTTAACATATCTGTAGCCTTTGGCTGGTTGCTTAGATATGTTAAATAGCTGTGGCCATGCTCTGAGCCAGGGGAATGGAAGTAATGACCCCACCAAGATGTGACTGGGGACAGGTCCCCTGAATTACAGTGCCTGCGTGGGAGCTTGGAGATGATTGGCTCCAGGACTTGGGGCCACACCTGCCCAGACTCATAATGGCAGCCCAGTAAAGCTGGAAGGATATGAGTTCTGGCATGTGAATCCGAATGTGGGAGGAGTCAGAAATGGGGCTACAGAGGAAGACTGGCGCAGGGATTTAAAACCGAGGTGCAGCAGCCATTTGGGAGGGGAAGAACCATACACAGCCCTGAAGGAGGAGAACCATGCGCAGCCCTGCAAGAGAGAACCACACAGCTTTAGCAGAGTGAAGACTCTCGCGGCCCTGAAAGAGAGAACCACGCGGCTCTGGCAGAGTGGGGACTCCCATGGTCCAGAGAGAGAGGACCACGTGCCTTTGCCAGAGTAGGGACCCCTGCAGCTTTAGGAGTTACGGTACTCTGGACTGGGCAAAGGGGGAAGGAAGGAAGGACTGTGTTTGTTTGTGGGTGCTTTAAGGGACTTTAGGATTTTTGGTGAAGACATTAGGTCCCTACTTTAAGTTTGTATAGCATTAAATAAATGTTTCCTTTCCTTTTCACAAATTTCTGGCATTGAGAGACGTCTTTCCTGGAGCGGCAGACATAACGGACCTGGGGGCTTCTTTATATTGGCCCAGGCCCCCCTTGTTTGTTCTGTAACAGCAGAACTGAAATTTGAACTCAGAACTTCTAACTCCAGACTGTGGCCTTTCAATTATACCCCACTGCTTCCTAAAATGATTGTTGAGGATTGATGACAAGGAAAAGAGTAGGCACCTGGAGTAAAATGATGGTGTTGTCCTCATCATTATCACTGGGTTTGTCCTAACTGGGATTTCTGACTTATGCTCTCTTCACCATTCATCCATCCATTCAGCAAACACTGAGCGGAGAGCTACAATGGGTTAGTCCCTTAGCTGTGGATTCAGAAGACAGTGAATAAGATAGGAAAGGTTCCTGCCCTCACACAGCTTCTTTTCTAGTGGGCAGAGACAGTCATTAAATAGGTAAACTGACAATTAGATAAGGTAACTAAACCTTGGCAAAGGTTTCATGGCAAAGAGTATCTTGGAGGAAACAAAAGGAGTGGGGATTCACTGGATGTGCCATTCCTTCAGATCAGGTGGTCCAGAAAGGCCTGAAGATGGAGGTGACATGTGAGCTGAGACCAGAAGAAGGAGAATGAGTCAGCTATGAGTAGAGCCACCATGGAAAGAACATTCCAGAAGGTTGGAGTCATGCGTACAAGGACCCTAAGATGGACATGAGCTTGCTATGTTAGAGAGACCATAAGGTTAGTGTGGGGGGAGGGTAATGAGGGACAGGGAGAATACATGAGAGGACCTGAGAGAGGTAGTCAGGGATTAGATCATGTTGGGCCCAGAAGTCACACAAAAGGGGCTTAAATTTTTATCTGACAACAGTGAGAATCTATGTATCATTGCTTTCCAACTGAGGCATACTATATGCCATGTATGCCATTTCATAGTTTCTAGTAGCCACATTACAAAAAGTGGAAAGAATCAGGTGAACTATTTATATTTTATTTATCCAAAATATTGTCCTTTCCATCTGTGATTGACATAAAATGTTCTTGAGATATTTTATATTCTTTCATGCTACACCTTTGAAATTTGGTGTGTCTTATATTTACAGGACCTCTCAGTTGAGATCAGCCACATTGTGAATGCTCGATAGCTATATGTGGCCAGTGGCTACCATATTGGACAGAGAGTTACAGAGTTTGAAGCTGGGATGTGGCAATATCTGATTTACTATTTAACACCCAGCAAGGACACCCAACCCCACATTATCAGATGGTGAGACCAAGAGGCTGGGGACACATAGCTAAGTGCCTGGTCTACTCTGTGTTTCAAGCATTTTGCTGGGAGGGACAGTCACTTGCCCAAAGTCACAAAGCTAGAAAGAGGCCAAGCAAAACCTTGAACCCAGATCTTTTGGTTTCATGCCAGACACTTTAGGAAACCTCCAATAATCCTAGCTCACAATGATGATGTGTT